GTCGTTACCGTCAGACGGGGAGACTTCTGGGCAAAGACTGGAGATGTTGGAAACTTGGGAGAAAAGGCAGAGGGACTAAGCAGTCCAGACTTGACGCGGCGCAGGTGGTTGGTGTGGCCCTCCTTGAGAGCTTGCACCTCGCCTTCGTGACGGGCAATTGCCTCTTCTGACGACTGTTGGGCAAGCATGACCTTGTCCTCTGCCGCCTTGAGCCTCTTCTCGAGCTGGACAATCTGATCAGTAGACTTTTGCTGCTCTTGTTCTCCGCGGATGATGGCCTCAGTGAGACGTCCTCGGAGAGCGTTGTTGGCGGTCAACTGGGTTTGAATCTTGTTGGAGAGTTCATCCATTCGGGTAGCAGCAGCGAACAACTCCCTGCTGAGCTGCTGCTCCTTACCGAGGTGTTCAATCTCGGATTGTTGGAGGGCACGAGCTTGCTGGCGGTATTGCTCAGCTTCGCGTTGGGCGTAATCACGCTCTGCCTCGGCATCAGAGATGCTTTGCTTGAGCAGGTCCAGCGTCCTCTCTGTTTCAGCGCTAGCCGCCCCAAGCGAGTCTGCGTCACTTGTTTCTAGCTGTTTCACACGAGCAAGAGACAGTGCGTGCGTAGTTCGCAGCTCGTTGTAAGCCTTGTCCAGAGCCATGGGTTCGTTCTCGATGCGGATTTCAGGTATGGTGATGTCGTGTTCTCGGAGAAGATCACGGAGCGAGCTGGTTTCTTGCTGGGCGCGGTCCAGATCCATTCGCAATCCACCCAAGCCCTTTTCGCACTGCCATTTCTGCTCGAGTGCTTCGTCTGCACGGCGTCGAAGAGAATCGACCTCTCGTCGCAGTCCCGTGACCTCCTTGTGGAACGCAGTTCGTCGGGGAGTGAGATTTAGAGCAGCATCCCTTTCGGCCTCTACCTCTCTAATACGGCGCTGGAACTCTCGTTGCTGCATCTCCTGTCGTTGGAGTAGATGTTTCAATGCTTTGTGTAGCGCATCTCGCTGCTCTTCGAGTTCCTTCATTGGGTTGCTGACTGCCGGTGCACCTACAGGAGACATGTCACCTGATCTATCCTTGACAGAGTTGGATCGTGACAGTGAACCCCTCTTGGAATTAAGACCAGCGGAACTACGAGCTAATGAGTTTGAGCGTGTCAGACCAACGCGCATGTTTGATAGGGGCGTGATGTCGGCTTCCTCTGCAATTGATTGAAATTGGACGGGCTGCCCTTGTTGTTGTTGTTGCAAAAGCTGTTGCTTTCGGGTTTTGGCGAGCGATTCGTTTTCGCTTCGTAATTGTTTGATCTCTTGCTGCATGCGGCTGGACTCGTAGACGAGTTTTTCAGTATCGGCGGCATCTGCCTCCAAGACTTCTAGTCGAGCTCTGAGTTGTGGAACGACTTCGTCGCGCAAGTTGTCGGCCTCGTTGCGATGCTTCTCCAGCTCTTCACGGAGGGCCGTGAGGAGATCTTCAAAGTTCTCCTTAACCTGCCGTTCCTCAGCCAGACGCCTTTTGGCATCTTCAAGAGACAGTGCTAGTTCTTTGACCTGTGGTGCTTCGACTACCGAGCCTACTCTTGATTTGTTGCTGACCTGGTCTTCAAGCTGTTGCACTTGCTCTTCAAGATCTCGGCGTCGACGAAGCTCTTCTTGTAAGCGCTCGGCCATGCGTACTTTGAGAGAAGCGCGCTCTTGCTCGGCCTTTCTCCGCTGCGTGTCCAGCTCTTCAAGCTTGGATTCTGGATCGGTAATGGGGAATCGAACAGAGCTGGTGCCGGAGTCTGAGTAGTAGTCACTGGTTCGTCGGTTATCTGAGATGCCAGTGGAGCTTTCGGCTTTCCACCGCTCCACCTCATCCTCGAGTTCCATCTCTCTTTGGATCGAGGCAGCCAGCTCGGAGCTGACCTCGCGGAGCTCGCGCTCCAGCTCCTCGACGTGAGCATTCATCTGTGGGGAAGAGGATAAAAGTGGGGTTCCGGGGACGTTGAAGTAAGATCCCATAGAGTTGGCAGCTGGTATATCCAGACCGATAGGCTTGGCCTTGTTAGACCTGCTGAAGCGCGGAGAGTCTAGGTTTGGAGAGTGTTCCGAATAGCCAGTACCCGCAGACTCGGGGCCGTTTTGAGCGCGGGAGTTCCAGCCAAAGAAGGAGGTGAAACCTCCTCCTCCCGGGGACTTGGGCTTGTTGTTTTGCTTTGATCGTGAGTCTGCTTCGGGACTGTACGAGTAGGTGTCCATGAAGTCGTCTGTAGCGCCGTCTATGTCTAACTTTGGTTGTGGTCGTTGTGCGTTGTTTGTGTTGTTGTACAATGGCATATTAGGCATGGTAGGAGAGCGGGCGTGTATTCCGCTGATGCCAAATGCTTTCAGGGCCTCTGACCTGCTTTGCTGCTGGGGGTGTATGCTGCTGGCTGGTCGGTCATGCCTTGGTTCTGGCAGAGCGGCCGTCACAGGGAAGCTTTTAGGGGACGTGGATGCAGGTTGCGGCGTAGTTCCCGTCAGAGGGGTCCGTCCATGCGGGTTACTTGGAGAGGAGTTAGCTAGGGCAGGGGAGGGCGCAGGCCGGCGGCGGGAGAGCTTACTCGTCAAGATTGCGAGGCACGAAGAGGTCTTCGTCAGTGACAGGCGGCGCGAGACTGGTATTAAGCGATGGTGCGGCAATAGTAGCAATTGGCCTATTAAACTGATCGACAAGAAAGCGGCCTACAATGGGCGAGTCTACAGGCAAGGGCTTTCTGCGGACGGGCGGCGACTGGAGGCCGAAGGGAGGAGCAGGAGCAGGTTGGGGAGCCTGGGACCGAAAGGCAGCAAAAGATGAAATGGCAATAGAGGCGAGGGAGGAGCCCTTTTGGCGTGGCGGCGAGGCTGGCAGAGGGCGCGTGTCGGCGCTGGACGCTTGGACGGTTTGCATATTGTCGTGTTATTCCCCCGCGACACCGATATGTAGGTACATGACCTTGCACAAATGGGGAGCTTGATGAAGGTCGAGGGGGTCGCCAAAGACGGTTGCTGGCAAAAGGAGAGTTTACTAGCAGGATTAGGGCCAGGAGTGGCCAGACGCGGCGCTTGGGGAGCGTCGTCTGGGCAGATCACCGCGCGCGAATTGGCTGGAGGAGGGCGCTTGTGCTTGCGGACCTGGCCTGTCATGGGCAGTTCGCGCTGCCTGAGTCGAGAATGTGTGCCGTGCCAGGGGGCAACTGGGGGGCTGCGCTCGGATCTGCAGGTACACGCCTTTATTTTTTATCCGGCCAATTGGCGCTAAGTCGGGATGCTCGACATAAGGGTGTCCTGGCCGGGCGAGGTGAGCGTCTGGCTGCGGGCATTGGAGAGCGATGCGCTACTCTAGTAGTCCGCTGCCGGCATGCAAATGGACAGTCGGCATGAGTCTGATCAGTCTGGCATGTGTCGCGCGCTCCGGCTCGAGCTTGACATGTGCGGTGGCGGGGGGGGTTGCTGGACGTCAAAGGATGAGGCCGTGAAACGCTCCGCAAGGCCCTCAGACGAACTGCCTCCCCCTTGGAGTCGAATCGGGTCTCGGCTGCATTGCTGGATTACAGTAGACTGACAGATAAGTAGTAGACAGCACACCACCCACCTACTATTCTGGGGCACAACACCACCACGCCCGCCCGCAACGGGTGGCTTGCATTGATCAAGATCCAGCCATTGCGTATCTGGCTCGCGCACGCAATTTCGTGCACCGCCCGAATGGGCTAGCCTGTGCCAAGCTTACCACCACCACCACCCGCGAACGGCGGGCTGTGCTTGTCGCCGCCGCATCGCACCACGACGACGACATGAACAGGGCCCCTGAAGCGCAATCTAATCCTGCTGGCCAAACCCATCATCCTCTTCCTCCTCTCTCGCCCACGCCGTCAGGCAGACTAATTGTACTTGGTCGCATTTCCCACACGGACTCCCGCACACGCTCTCACACGGCAATTGACCTTTGACCCTGACCTGCATAATTCTCATGCTCCCACTATGCAAATACCCCTCTCCCCTTCCCCAGTGCTATTTTCATCTCCCCCTCCGACTGCCCTTGCCCGTGACCCTTATCTGACACTGGGGGCCACCCCATCTCATTCGTATACTTACACCTAACGATATGCTTAATGCTCCGATACGAAGAGCCCCGCCGCCGCGCTTAATGCCGAGAACCCACCAGCCCTTCCCTCAACGCCATCCTCCCACCCGCCCCTCGTCCCAGCGCTCTTTTCGCTCCGCACGGAGATAGGCAATCTTACGCCCTTCTCTCAATCGGCGCACAAAGTCGGTTACTTCGCGGTCACTGGCTACGGCATCTCCGCCGCCAAATCCTTCGCCATCCAAGAAGCTCTCCTCGAGTCCTCGACACAGGGCTTCTTGCTCACCTACTGCCGCACTCAGTCGTTGATACAGCGCGGGCGGGCTGAACTCCCGCAGTGCTTCGTCTTGCTCGCTCTGCTTTGCTCTCCATTGGCGCTCCAGAGCACGCATCGCTAACAGACGTGACTGTACGTCATCGCGCTGGTGCCGCACGTGCGCTTCAAGCTGCTTGAGTGATTCGGCAAGTCCTATGTTCTGTGCTAGTAGTGTTTGCAAAGGTGCTGTGGATGCAGGTAGTGAGCCATGTCTTGTTTCGGGATTATGAATTATTACATGCTGTAGTTCTGGCGTCTGCAGCACATGATGTAAATCCTTGGTCCTAACCCGTACCTTAGCAGAGGCCTTGTCGACGACGTGTAAGAGCTGACGTACGATTTGTCTTTGAGCACATCCGGCAGCCAGCCATCCTCTGGCCCTGGCACTGCTAGTTGGTCCGGTACTTGGTGTCCATGTTGATGATACTGTGTCTGCGAGTGCTGCTGCGGGTCCCCAGATGACGATGCCTGGCCTGGTGGGGGCGGCAGCGGAGGGCCCTGAGATGGCGTTGCTGTTCCACTCGCGCGGCCTGGCTTGGGCGGCGGGGGTGGTGGTGTCGATGCGTCGTACTGATAGAATTGCTGTGAATGGCGCGGGGACGAATATGCCATGGTATGTGCTGCGACTTGAATGCTCGTACGTAGGTAGTGGTTGCATGACGCGGGCCATGGGCGTTGTTGCTAGCGCGTCGAGCTGATCTGATCTAATCTTATCTCATCAGCGCACCCCTGCACTGAGGCCACAGCAGCGTCTACTTACACTTTGAAGCTGTGGACACGTCTGGACGCGCCATTCTATTGCCTGCGCACTCTGACCCTCGAGCACTCTGATCCTCCCTCTCACTCTACTACATCCAGCCACCTCTCCCGCAACTGGCTTAGAGCAAAAAAAAAATGGTACGCATACCCTCCCCCGCCAAACAAGCAACCAACGCAGCCCGCTAACCTGGCATTGTCGCAATACAGGCCAACGTTATAGCCAACTCCGGCCACGATGACATGATAGTACGTTTGCATACACGCCCGCATGCCTATTTGTTTTCTCCGCCGGGCTGCTCTTGCTGGCGCAATGGCCATCTCAATTACAATGCCAGCATGTTCGGGGTGGCTGCTAACAAACTATAGCATGATGCTGTTCTGGACTACTATGGCCGACGATTAGCGACTTGTTCTTCAGACAAGACAATCAAGATCTTCGAAGTTGAAGGCGACAAGCACACATTGGTAGAGACGCTTAGAGGGTACGTCATAGCCAGCCAGGACTGTGCAACCAAGTCACGATTCACCGCTAACGCATTGACAGACACGAAGGTGCTGTATGGAGTGTCGCATGGGCACACCCCAAGTATGGCAACATCCTCGCCTCCTCCTCGTACGATGGCAAGGTCCTCATCTGGCGCGAGCAGTCCAACAGCTGGCAGAAGATTTACGAGGTCGCTCTCCACACTGCCTCGGTCAACCTTGTTGCATGGGCACCCCACGAGGCAGGCTGCCTACTCGCATGTGCTTCCACCGACGGCAACGTCTCTGTACTCGAATTCAAAGACAACAACTGGACACATCAGCTTTTCCAGGCTCATGGAAGTGGTGTCAATAGCGTATCATGGGCTCCTGCTATTGCGCCTGGACAAGCCGTCAGTGCGGGTGGCGCCCAAGTGGCTGCAAGGCGGCTAGTGACCGGTGGAAGTGACTGCCAGGTCAAGATCTGGGAATTCAGCCCCGACAGCGGCAGCTGGCAGAACCTGCAGATACTCCCTGGTGGTCACCTGGATTGGGTTCGCGACGTAGCCTGGTCACCCACGGTCCTATCAAAGTCATACATTGCCTCTGCCTCTCAGGATAAAACTGTCATCATCTGGACCTCTTCGGACTTGCGAGGCGAATGGAAGCGCACTAAGCTGGATGTTGATGCCGCAGCCTGGCGCGTCAGTTGGAGCTTGAGTGGCAATGCCTTGGCTGTGAGCACTGGCGACAACAGAGTCAGTCTCTGGAAGGAGCGGCTCAGTGGCGGATGGGAATGCGTCAAGACAATTGAGGAGTAGACTGCCGTGCAAAAAGAGAGCCGAACCCTGTAGTACATTCAAACTCAGACAGTCGAGTGTAATCATACATGAGGAATGCCTATTTGCCAATCTGAAGAAGTACTTCGTATTCCACGCGCTGACAAGACTAATGCATCTGCTAAAGCTAGGATCAATTGTAATCTAGGCGCGAGGCAAGGATGACTACAGTAATCATTCCTGGCTGTAGCGTAATAAAAGTCAAGGTTGCTTCTCAAGCTCTTTTATTCTTAACACTTTTCATGGCTCGTTATACTGTTGCTACCAGTTCTCTTATCACTACTTTGGAAGATGCTGGAAAGATATAACCCGAGAGAATGTTTAAGCGTAGGTTGAACGCATCTGAGTTTGTGTCCAGGAGACTGCCCAGGTTCGAATGCGAGTACCAAGAGGGTAAGAATGGCAAAGACTTGGAGAATAAAAGAAGATTGGCAGTATACCGGGAAACTTGCCGAAATAAGATCATGTCTATAAGTACCTTGATCGCTACGGCAGGTAGAGACTTTTAGAAGACTCCTCTATAAGCCTTGCGTACTGGTCCCCCCCCCCCTCAGTTTAACTCTCAAGCCTTCCTTGAGCTACTTCACAGCCACTCCATCACGCCAACCTAATAATCATCTGAAATTCCAGGATTGATTATCACAGTGCACTCTCTAGAACTCAAGCTATATAGTTGATTGTCGAAGGTGTGTTAATCAGCGCAATCGCAGTTATGGTAGTTGGCAGTGGCTACGTTAGTTTCTCCCACCAAATCACCGCAGTGTTCGCTGTTTTAAAACTTAATTAGGTGGCACTGGTACACATGGGTGTAACGGTACAGGCAAGAAGTATCGGATTAGTTTCGGACGTAAGGTCACTCAGAGGTATATGGGAGTACGTGGGACACAATTAATCCAAGAATCTGATAAAACACCTATAGGCCTTGTACGAAAGGATATAGAAAAACTACAGAATAAGCTATCATAGATGTTTGGGTTTATATCCTATCAATTCTAGTTCCGCCTATTACTAAGCTCTCTCCTTTCCTCTTATATCTTCATAATGATAGAAGTTTCTCTTTATAATAAGTAATAATACACGTACTAGTTATTAGAGCTTACTAGCCTAAACGAAAATAACTGAGCTATACTAATAATTGAACGATCATATCTCTGGTTAGCTGAATACACCCCTGCCCAGCTTATCAAAAAACGAGCTAACGAAACATACCCATGTATACCAGTATTGTACACAATTACTAACTACAATGACGTTGTATGAACGGCGGTATAATGCACCTGATCAAATGGCTAGCTTTCAAGAAGGTGTTCATTACGTCTATTTGTCGCGCCGGAGTGCATTTACCAATCTGAATAAAGTATTTATTTATCCTATCGATATTCCAATTGTTTGGGCAGTTTCGAAGAAAATACCAAACAAAAATCTCGTTAGCGTCTATCTTCTCATAACGCAGCAACACTCGTAACGGAACATCAACGGCAGTTTCTCTTTTAACAGCGTCAATGTCTATTACATAACCGATGACTTGACTTATATAGGTATGTTTGATATATAGCGTATCAAATTGATTATCTCAGAAAAGAAAATAGTAGGCCACGCCCCAACCTAGCGGAATTAGGTATGAAATAGATCAACTTTGCAGCTAAAGTCAAAGGATTCGGGTATGCATTGACGTCAGTGACATTCTACTCTTCAACCCTGGAAAATTATTTAGTAATACTACTAAAAATATGTACACCTCTCAACACTTATATTCCTATTAAACACACCTCCATTTGGTACGACAACCAAATTAATTATGGTTACGACGAAGGCGGCAGAACTGCGAATTCCACATAGTCTATATACACTTGGAATAGATACCTCAACTTTTTAACCCTCTATAGACACTCGATTTCCTATCGTGCAACACCACAAGTCGTTGCTAGGCCGTTAGTATCTACTACCTTGGATTTCATCCGGCCTTCTCTAACTACTCTGTATCTGTCTAAAAGCTGGCCAACCGGTAGGTTATTATATGGAGATCGCATTTCGATCAGGTCATCGCTCCCAATGAGCTGTTTATACTGCTGTAGTGGCTTGTTGCTTAGCAAATCACGCACTTGAGCAGGAACTGACAGCCCTGCTGTGCAGAAGCGGTCTGGCCTTCACATTCTAGCTGCGTCAAAGCATGGCTAGATAACTCATGTTGACATGACTAGATATTAGTTCGAAAATAGTCAGCGGCTTGAAATGTACTGGACCCCATGCAACAGACCACTAGTAGTATAAGAGAGATTTTATTGAGAATAGAATACTAAGCACACCATTTGATGTTGTATAAAGAGTACTTGTTCGCGAGGGTTTTCACAGATAGGCACAAAATATAAGTCAGAGCAAACTAAGACAAATCCTTGATGAGTAGCATAAGGTTCGGATGAGACTTATATACACTATAAACGTGACTGTGGTTTCCTTTGGACCGAGGACTGGCTTTGTTGGGCCTAACTTTCAAATTATCGTTACATTTTCACCACAGGTAAGTGATTTAATTATCACATGGGGCACCGTTGAAGGTGGGACAGACAGAACGGTAACGTCTTCCATCGGTTGGGTTGCCCTCCCAACCCGCACAATCAGCCACGCTCCAGGCTCTCTCGACGAGGCACTAAACAGTAGAGGCGTCTTGTTAGCAAAAAGTTCTGGAAAAACTATGCTTTGTAGCTTTTTTGTCCCCAAAGATGAATACGTACAGTGTTTGTGTTTGAAAGCCTGTCATAGCAGGTTATTCCTCGGCCCCTGCAGTACCATGCGGCAATCACTGCAGACCTCCCACTGGGCAAAATCTCGATACATTGACAGGCGAGCAGGCCTGCTACAAGAGGTGCACTAGGTATGAGTTAGTGGGATAGTATAGCATGAGGTTGCTAACGTGGAAACTTACCTGGCTGCAAGGCTTGCGAGTAGGAGAGTGACCTTCATGGCTTAGATAGAGCGGATTGAGTTGACTTGACTTGAGTTGTAGAAGAGAATCGGTTGTGATGAAGAATATAATGCGAGTACGACGCAGCAGTGAAGGTATTCATGCCTCAACGCAGACCTCTTTTTACCTCGGTCTTTACTTATTCTAACATGGGATCCCTATTGTTGTAGCATCTTCCGCCTTTGACTGCCTTTCACCGCTAGTCGGTGGGGTGGCTGCGCAAATATTGAGGTTCTACGATCTACGCAGTACACAATGATCTCAAGCTATGGCATCGATACAAAGTAAATTGAGTATCTCGTGACACGCAACATGAGAATAAGCGCTGTTACAGAATATGAAGAAGCCTAGAGAGAATTGGTAGGTGTAATAGCCGGCTATCTCGAGGTAATATGCACGCTATGCAGACGCCTGCAGTACACGGCAGCGTACATCCTCGTGCAACCATTCCTAATCAAGTATAGAGATATTGATAGTCCAGATACGGAGAACAGAGCAGAATTTCTGACAGACAGTTTGATCAGCAGATCATTTTATGAATGAGCGTCAAGGTGCTTTGCGAGACTACAACACATCCCTGCTATTGGCACGCTCACGAATCAGTGTGCAAGTCAGAGCAATTGTGAATAACTTTACTTGGAGATGAGAAGAAGTAGATTCCTCCCAAGATAGCGTATCTTGGAGAGCGTTATGAATCTTGACAAGGAGAGCTTGTCTCATCGGACGTTTTACGGGGGCTTGGACTGTCAAAAGCACAATCTATAAAGCCGCGAGAAGAATAGCTGTGAGTGAATTTACTTGAACACAGGACAGGGTAGATTTTCCGTCTGTGAGTGAATCTTGGAAGGAAGCGGGGATCTTGGTTTGTCTACAGTTTAGTCCATGAAGCCATAATACGAACAGTTGTGAGTGAATTTATGTAAAAGCAAGACGGACTAGATTTTGCCATATGCAAGCGGATATTGAAGAGGTGCTGAGGATCCCAAGCAGGAGGCTTAGCTATCCGGGCGGCTCACGGGAGCTTGGCTTTTTCTTGTAGTCTATAAGGCCGTAAGTAGATGTGAGTATACGATAGATGTATGTACATCCCCAGAAACGGACTGTCTCTGACATTTGGCTAACCCAAAAAGGAAGTGATATGCGCGATCTATCTCTCACGACACGGCAAAAGGAAAGGTCCTACTCGATGCACTTCAACACGGTATTTTTGTATAAGATGGTATGTCTCTGTGAGTTTGTGAGTTGTATCAGACACTATCATCCTCTCTTCATACATACTATACACAACAAGCCATTTACTTGAAACCCTTCAACTCGCGTCCTCTACTGCAATGCAGCTCAAGTTCAACGCAATTGGCCTTTTGGCTATTATGACTTCCCTGACGTCCGCTATACCTGCGGAGCACGTCAGTCATGTAGTCCAGGGTGAAGTTGCCGTCTCAAAACTAGAGGCGAGGCAGGTGCAGTATAGCTGTCAAGTTGTTCGAGCGAACCAATTGGGAAGATGCCGAAATGCAATTGCGGATCTGAGGAGGCGCGATCTTAGAGGATTCGATGTCTTTGGTAGGTATCGCTAGTTTATTGTGTCTAGGAGCTGACTGACATCGTATAATAGCTTGCATTAGCGCCGGTGCTGCTTTCTTTGATTCTTGTGCGGCTGCAGTCGCGATGGGGGGCTTGGGTAAGATACTATTTAGCTCATTGAAATCCAAACTAACACATACAGATTCTCTAATTGACGTGGGCTGCATTGGAACTATCGCCAGCATTGAGGCTGGATGCAGAGGTTGCAAGGCTGGTATTGAGAAACGGGATGTAGAACGTGCAGCAGCCACGATATCTACTTAAGTGGGCCACGGATACCTTCTCCGCACCAGCACAGTATTGGATCGATCGACAATTTTATCCAACAGCTCACAGCATGCACCCAGCCGTCGCGAAAGTAGGCTCTTCTTTGTCAACATGTTACGGTTGTAACTGAGAAGCCATGCCATAGCTGGTACGAAGTAGTAATCCGTCGAAATTATAAAACAATGATGACACCACTACATACTATCATTCAACTCTTATGACTTTAACTTTGATTGTTTGCACAAGTTTGGCGGAATGTTAGGCCACACGCCAACCTGCCCGAATCGAGTATCAAAAGGAAAGAATTAGCAATTGCTATGAATCTGATAAGCTTCTCATCCATGTTGTAAGCATGTAGCGCATTGATAGTGTACCGGGCGAATTTGTCCAGTAGGAGCCTTAAAAAGAGTGCTTATTTCATTTCTCAATCGGCCCGAGCACAATTCAGTCCTTATTGGCGGTGACTTCTAATTTCAGGTCATCTGGATGGCACTGAACAAAAGCAATCACCCCAGCAGTAACCAATCTCTTTCTGAGCAATCTCTGAAGCCCAGATGGGGATCATCTTTGTTTTGAGTGCCGCGCTATATAGGGTTGGCTCTGTTTATATAGTTCAAGAGCTCATTTTCTTGTTGTAGGTTGAGGGATTGTTGATTCTGAAAGTGAACAGTGTGTGGGGTGCTTGAACCTTGATGCCGGTGCGCGAGCGTTACCCGGTTCGTGCTACGCCTTTTCGCGATCTGGGGTAAATTAAGGATGCCTTCAAGCACAGCTTCAAAACACTCTATGTGGGGTGGTTACGGCATAGTGGTGATGATGGCGGTGGTTTTAGTGGGCCAGCGGTCGTTGCGCTGTCCGGCACTGGACTACCTAGTAGTAATCTACGATTGGTTCAATCCTATACTATTGGCAAGCATAATCCCCCATCACGGATCCACCGCCAAACAGTGGAAAGTTTCGTTATTCTAATTCTTAACTTCCCAAGGTCGAATGTACCAACTCTGCAAAGCTGACGATTTATATCCTCATTTTATGTTTCCTTGACCCTATGCCGTATCGAAGCACATCCTCTCAACACAGCAAGAGCAAGTCTGGATACCGACTCATTACTATGGAGCAAACTAAATCTAGTAATGGCAGAAAAAAATGATGTGCACAAATCTTATACTTGGAGTAATATGATCTTGTCTATCAAGGCCATGGAGATGCGCCAAGACCCGCGTATGTGTGCCTGAACACGAAAGGTCAGGATCGCCGCATTCCACGCCTCTTGACTATTTGCCTAATACGGTCTACACTACCACTAGGCGCCAACAGCCTCAGCCTTAGGCTTTTTGTATGTAAACATCAAACTTCCGAATTTCTCATTACACTCTTGCCGGGCAAAAGGGACACGGCAGGTAACGATTTCTGCAGTATTCTCGAACAACATCGTGAGTCGTACAGGCGATGCAACATCAATAAGTAGTCAAACATGGCGACAACTGAGAGCCAAAACAAACAGTCGGACGTCTCCAGTGACAACAGCAATAAGCCCACGCCAGCTCAAATTGAGGCAAGAACTATCCTTAACCACGTCCTTACTCAGCTCCAATCCCACCCCCACTACACCACCACCTACAGCCCTTGGATCCAGCGCAACGGCCACACCCAGCTCCTCAACTTTTGCCAACCGCTAGTCCTGCCACAAACCTGGAACTTCCTCTCCAACCGCTGGTCTCTAGATGCCTTAAAACCGCTATCAGGGGACCTGCGCTACTCGGGCCGCGCCATCTACCTCGACGGCATCCTAGGCCTCGACAAGCGGCTGCGCATCTACGTTGGGCAGAGCCACAATCTGCGGGCTCGCGTGGCACAGCATCTGAACTTCAGGTACAGGAGAGACCATAGCTCGCTGCACTACTTTGCGCTGCAGGAGAGCGTGTACAATGTACTCGGTGCTATCGTTATTTTACCTGGTGTGAATACTGGGCCGGGTACGGATGACATGCCGTTGCTGATGAATGTGCTCGAGTTGTGGATGTGTCTTGTTTTTCGGTCGTTGCCAATGCAGGTGCTTGAGGAGTGGCTGCCGGATGATGGGTCGGTGGAGAGGAAGAGGAAAGTAGGGAAAGAGGGGGTAGTGAGCGGACTCAATGTTGCGTGTCCGCTTGATCAGGGGAGGAATGATAGGATGTTTGTGGATTTGAGTGACGACGAGGATCCGCTTGTTAAAGCGTATTTGAAAGAGGTTAGGAGGAAGAAGAAAGAAAAGGAGGAAGATGAGATTGTCAGAAGAAAAGAAGTGTATGTAGAGAAGGCGACGGGGTACAAGGGAGGAGATGGAGACATACGTGTTCCGCAATGGGTCTTCTACGGTGTACTGGCAGGGGTTCTGGGGTATGTTTTGGTTAGTAGTAGAGTGGGACAGAAGCTTAGATGGTGGATGATATAGAAGTGGAGATACATAGTTCATGTGACAGTCACGCTAGTATTACTTTTAGACTCATGAGATGATGACGATAAGATTCAATCGAGTGTTTCTGGTTTTCTATTGGAATTGCTACATGATACCCAGCATACTGAATAAGAACCAGGGAAATAATCGTATAGTACCCAGGCGACCAGAGTCCAGCTGCAAGTCCCTGCTTTTCCCCATTCCACTACGCCAAACTAGAAGTATCAAATAATCTACAGTTGCCGCCTAGCACCACTCAAATCCTCGGTTTAGATGGCAGTGCGCTGGTTCCGGTGGGTGTAATCGTCACGCTTTGCAATGGCTCCATTCACACATTTTGTGCCTCCAGCCACGGGCATCATAAATGCCTTTCCAAAGTTACAAAGACCGTATTGCGTACCGTCGGGTGAGCAGACAAGTTGGCCATCAGTAGAGCAAGGCATGCCAGTAGAGAATCCAGAGCCTGGGGCTGGCCCAGCTGAGGGACGAGGTGCAACGGGGCTCGGGACTGGGGCTGCGATGGGTTGAGTGGGACCGGGGCCTTGAGAAGGTTGAGCGGGCCTGGGCTTGGGAGCCGGAATGGCACTACAAGCAGAAGGAGCCATGACACCACCTGGGTTGGTAGGCACAGGAGCCATGGGCGCGGTGACAGTCTTGACAGTACGGAAGGTCGACGACATCGCGGATCCAGCATCTGATGCAACTGGAGCCTGTGAAGAAGCCCCAGCACCATCAGAGCCACTACCACCGCCACCACCACTACGACCCATTCCAGGCTGCGAAGTTGTACCCGCGCAAAGATCCATAAACGGACCCTCGCTAGATGTCGTACCAAACATGCCTGGATTCGCAAATGTATAGTCGGCCCCTTCTTTCGTCGTACCACACGAGCCCGGGACGTTTATATTCGCAATCGCCATATCGGGAAGCACATCCAGACCCGATGCATCATCCGCGCCGCCAGTGACTGAAACAGAAGCGCAGTTCATGTACATTTCGCGGTTACCGATCTTGTTGAACCACGTCCAAGCCACAGTCAGGTCGCCGGAAGGAAGATCCTGGGGGACGGTAAAGGGGAAACTGCCGTTGTAGCTCTCACCATTTTGATCCAGGTTACCCTCTACGTTGGCAGGACATCCGCCTTCGATGCTATAGATGACTTTCCACTTGGAATCTTTGGTGGGCGGTTTGTCGGTGCTTACGCTCATCTGGCAGCTTCCACCGCCATGAACGGCAGTGCCCGAGAAGGAGAGGGATTGGGTTGATCCAGCGGGCCACTCGTTCACTGTAGCAGAACCACTAGCTGGGCCCTTGCAAGGGAAGTCGGAACCATCTGGGGCGAGTGGTGAGTTATTTGGGGCGTTGAAGGGAACCGGGTTGGCCATGATCATGTGAGCACTGGAGAGAGGCGCCAGGGCCGCCAGGGCCGCGGTAGCGAGAAGAGTAGTCTTTTTAGTAGGCATCTTAGGTTGATAGATCTCCTGGAAAATTCGTGTAGCTGTTTGGAAAAGGAGTGTTTTGAAGCTGGGTGATCAGCAAGTTGTAGAAGTTGATGCGTTTGGTTTGGCAGGATAAGGAAAAATATCAGCAGTCTTTATGTAGTTTGTCGCGCTGAAGGTGAGGAGTGTGTTGTGGAACTAAAGTACAATAGCGATTGTGGTTGTGTGATCTCACAATAGCTTCACAATGAGACATGTCAAGGGACTGGTGGCTGTCGATTGTGAAGGTGAAGGTGAATGCAAAGGTGACGCATGTGTTGAACGTCATCAGCCAGTGAATTCGAAATCTTGCGGGACTTTTCGACGTGGAAATGGTCTGGTCCTTTCAGGAGTAAAAGGAGAAGCCGATCGGATTCTATGTTGAACGATTTTGAAACGACTCGTCGTGCACATGACGGGAAAAGCATAGTGAGATGGTAGTTGGGAGATTTGAGGATAAGACAGTAGCGTGAAAAGAAATGATTGAAGCAAATAAAGAAAGAGATACGCTAGAATGCTGTCCATCACAATTGTGGTTTTGTCATTTATGCAGTGAATCGAAAGTGACAAGTCTTGAATTACCCGTGGTCTCCGAGTTGGATATACCGATGTGGTCGAAAAAGCAGCGCTGCTGGTTTCGTATCTGAGACTTGATATTAGCAGCATTTTACCGTACTTTGTCATGTGAGTAAAAGTCTAAACTTATTCATGCTCTGCCATCATGGAACGTAAAAGTATAGCGCGTGGTTCCATTGGTGAAGTGAAGGGAGGGAAGCCTAGTGCGGATATAGACTAGCGTGCCTTGGCACGTCTAGCTGCAGCGCAATCGCGAAAGCATCCCAACGCTTGCCAGGTACGCGCAAGAGGATTCACGATTCGAACGGATTTGCACAATCTGGCATAGCGAAGGAGGGTCGTGCTACAGAATCAACCCGACATACCCTGCGTGGCTTGGTGCGCAGATTGTGCTCTCCCATACGTTGCGACGCGTCCGGTGTTCGCGAGCTCTGTTGAGCTTCCTCAGATTCCCTACACGACCCATCGCGCGCATCAACAGCCATGTTTACAAGCACGGGAAAGACGGCGCCGCCCCAGGCCTTCATGTCCAGCTATGCGCCACGACTGCGCAGCCACGGAAACTCGCTCATATCGCCCATTGTCCCGCCCTCGAATACGCTGCCTGCACCGCGCGTGACGAAACGTGGAACTGCCGTTCTCAGCTACGCGGAAGATGCCTACGACGATGACGACTTTGAAGATAGCGACCGCCCGCGACGAGCAACTGGCCTCCGCAGTGTACAAAAGGCCGACCCGCTAAACGCTGATCACTCAGCGCAAATCGCTGCTTTAGGGGAGGAACTCACGGCACCAATCGACCTGCAAGGAATTTGGAGAGACTGGATGGGCAGGCCAAAGCGAACTTTGTGAGTGGCATAGTGGCAGGGCTTGGCCGTGGATTGAAGAGATTGCTGAAAAATTAACATGTTGCAGAACTGAGAAGCAAGTCCTGACGCAGTCTGTCTTACCGGTGACACTGATCCCTATTCGCATAGACATGGACATTCAAGCTTTCCGTCCCGATGCGCCGCTACCCACACCCTCAAATGCTCGCGAGTTTGGCATCAACGAGAACCTGCCCGCGTACAAACAGCCTGACGTCACCCCTGCATACAGACTCAAGGACTCGTTTCTGTGGAACCTACACGAGGCTCTAACGACACCCGATCAATTCGCAAAGCAATTTGTAGATGAACTGGATCTTCCAAATGAGCGGAAACCCTTGATAATCTCTCAGATTGCCAACCAAATCCGACAGCAGTTGGAGGAGTATGCTGGTGTTGCGCTTCATCCTCTGTTCCATTCCGCAAACTCGCCTGCTGTACAAGGAACCGGTGCCAAACCTGCGCTGCCCATTTCGTCTCGCGATGGCACCTCCACTCCTGTTGTCCCAGCCACAAATGGCGCATCCACACCAATGACAAACGGCGCATCTCAAGCAGAGGGTGCGCAGACACCAGCAGGCATACCAAATGGCATCAGTGCAAAAGCTACGGCGCTGCCTTCGGAAGAACTTCACAACCCGGATGACACCTACCGATGCATTGTCACACTGAACATCAACCTCATGAACCGGTTATACACAGATAAATTCGAGTGGTCATTGCTACATCCTCCAGGTTTTGCGGAAATGTTTGCCAAAACAACTTGCGCCGATCTCGGACTGTCAGGAGAATGGGTGAATGCTATGACGCATAGTATCTATGAAGCTGTCTTGCGGCTCAAAAAGGAGGCGTGTGAAAACGGCGGACTAGTAGGTGATGGAGAAATTGACAATGATGCTGTGGAGCCAACCATTGGCGCAGGGTGGAGATATGACCAAGAACATCTCTGTGACGAGTGGGAGCCAAAGGTTGAGATTCTGTCGCCCGAAGAAATCGAAAAGCGTGAAGGCGACCGCGAAAGGCAGATTCGCAGGTTACGGCGAGAAACGGCGCGCTTCTCGTCAACCTCAAATATGACGGGCACTCCAGCCAATGAGTTCTTCAATAACATCGAAGGACAAGAAAACATGGGCCGTGGTGAGCGTAGCAAGAAGAAGAGAAGATTCAGGAGTTTGAGCCCTGTCGGGCGCGGCACACCTGGCGCTGGAGGAGGCGGATCCGGCTACGGTGGGCAGGACGGCGGGCTGCAAGAGGGGTACGTATTCACAATTCGGCTACAAAGAGATTTTCTTTTGCTAACGTTTATGGTATAGGGAGAGGCAAACGTGGAGATGTTCACACTGTTGGGTTTGGGGAACTGCGGTTTGGGCCGTTCGAGATGGTCCAAAAGGACCGCGCAGCCTGTGCAACAATTGCGGCTACCTTTACGAACGTGACAAGAAACTGCCGCCTTGGTCTGAGAATCTCTTCTATCACGAAAGGCCAATGCACGAGATACCACAGTATCGGCCACAACGATGATAGTGGGCCTAAGTCTATAGTAAGGAAACGTTTTCTTCGCCGACCGCGGTAAGCTGATGGAGTTTTAGCCTTGTTGTGGCGCTCTCTGCTTGGTCGTTGAGCCCAGTTTTCTTGAACACTTGATTCCCACATTTTGAAACTTAGTCGCATTGTTTTGTTGCAGCGTGGCGTCTTGGGTGGGGGTGTGTCTGTCATAACGGTACACTTTTGTATAACACCAAACGGAAATCTTTATCAATACCAACAATTAGAGGCTGTGGGGCTGGTTGGGAGTGTGTCCGGGCAACGGAGACTTGGGGTTCAGGATGTGAAGGGGCCAACCTGTTTCGTTGCCACGGAGCACAAGCAGCTTTTGTTTGCCTTTGAGGCGAATGGTCTAGCGAGATCTGTTATAGCCTACAGCGTATGGCGTCGTCTCTCCTTTTTTTTACCGCAAAGGTTGTCTACATAGTTGGAAGTATAGTTTACAGCAAGAGCTGCGCTTTGTAGATGTGGGATATGGCAGAATCACTGGCATTCTTATTTTTTTGGTTCCCATTTTGGTGGCGCTACGTCTGTTGTGTTGTCCAGAAGCCCCCCTTTCTCGATATTTGGTTATTGTTTACATGCACTGTTAGGATGTATATGCACTACGCCGCATGCCTGCAGCATACATTTCGCAATCCATACTCGATACACACACTTGGCAAGTTCTCCGTGCTTTAAACCAAGTGATCACAAGATAAATCGGTAGATCAATATGAATTACTTTGGTTTTATCCAGTCACAGAATTTAGCAGAATATAGTCACAGGTATTTGGGGTCAGTCAAAGGCCGTCCACGGGATATGTTCCTTTTCGACCTGATGAATCAACACAGTCTGCTTCTACTTGGGGATTACTAACATGAGATCTTCAGGTAAAGGGGAATGCGATCGTCTACATGTACCAGTCTTTGACGCCTTTATTTGTCTTATTCACTTTGCCAAACGTCATCGAACAGTGGTTGTGCTGCAAGGCCGCGATATCTGCATGACACTAACTATGAAACAATGAGAGACAAAGAGACAAGACATGGCTGGATCGACCTAGAGAATAGTAGTGATATCACAAGGTCTCATCGTGTCGGTCAAGGAGACAATTACTTGCCAATGACCATGATCCCGGGAACCCACCGATGCACCCCGAGCATCCCGACTGGCACGAGTTGAGCCAAGAATAAGAGGAGATGATTAAGATCATCATCTAGGGACTACACATACACGCCCTTGGTATCGTATATAGTAATGATTAACGGATAAGTCCCGTCAGCGACGGTTGTAACGGATGCCTGTAGCATTGTCTTGGGGGACGTGAACAATGCCAGGATGACGGGAAACGGGAGAGGACGGAAGGATGAGTTGGCAGGGCGCGACATAGACTGACGTTCTGGGATTAGCTGGCTGCTGCATGGAGAAGGAGCGAATGGTACAGTCCCAAGAAGGCGTCTCATGTCCAACACAACCACCCACTTGTCTGAAAACATTGTCCACACTGTTACACAGTGCCACTCCACAAACCCCCCCCCCCCCCGCACACACACCCCTATGAGTCCTTCTCCGGTGTCAAGCTTCTCGAATGGATGGGGATCAGCATACCGTACGAGTGTCGACAGCATAGCAGTGTTTAATTCGCTCGTCGCTTATGAAACCCATCCAATGGCTGGAGCGATGGTTGTGGCGCAGGTGCTGAAAACTGCCTAGTAGTGCATGGCTATTGAGTGATGAGGGTCACAATAGCAAGGCCGACGCATCTTGCACCTTGTGCACTTTGTGTGCGACCGACGTTGCATTTGCTATTGTGCGTGATGCAGTGGCGCAATACCTGCATTGGATTGTTTGGCCTTGCTATTGTGTCGGCTGTTGCAGGTGATGCTGAATAGCTCTTGGCTGGAGATTGCATGATGGGCGGGAATATTTAGTAGGGTGGCGTCCTACTGCCGCCGTCTTGGGTTATCCCAGGGAGACTGAACTCGGTGTTGGAATACTACTAAGAAGAGTTTCTTTCCGGTACGTACGTGACATGTTGCTTCGTTTGCAAGACGCTATTTCTTAATTGCTAACGTCCCGTAGGGTTTTCTCCCAACAAGGCAAATTCTAGACATCTCGGCCAGCGGCCATCTCCGATCACTGCTTGTGTGATAGATCACGGTATCTACCGGGGCAAATCTACCGTTTAGATTTCGTGGTCGCGCAACACTTTCCGGCAAAGCGTTCAACCACTACTATGTGCTGGTGGTCGACTCGCATGATCTTCGGATAATCCATCACACCAACATCACGCCACGACTCCACGATCACGGTACCCCACATCATCGTGCCAAACAAGTTGGAAAAACTTGGGAAAAGAGTGTGCATATAGGCCATGGAGCCCTTTCACAATACTGCTGTGCACAGTGCAAAAATATCAACGCTACAACAAACTTCACAATCTCAATTCAACAACAACAGCACTTGGACATTATCATTGGAACAAATGCCAGCACCCCCAGCCTACGAAACAGTCATAGATTCCAACATGCCACAATCGAGAGCATCAAGTCCGTACATACATTTCGAAGGAGAAGAGGAAGACAGGGAAGTGGACAATGACACGCCTGAGGTAGTCATCAACGCCGCAACCCAAATCCGCGGGCACGGAAACATTATATCCATTGCGCAAATGGACAGTGTACGGATAGCAAACCTCATCACAAGCCTGCTCAATTGTGGGGATAAAATACCAGTAGACGACGCCACACGACCGCTTACACCTCCAAGCCCAGTGCCACTAGCAACAGCGCAGGCGCAGCGGACAACAAGGACGCAAGTCAGGGGGGTGCACAAGTATCCTAACATCAACATCACGGTCAATTGCGGTGCGACGGTTCTAGGAGACCGGAACATTGTAGGGCCAGGACTGGGCGACATTGCAAGGCAGATGCAGATGGCACAGCGAAACCAGGCGGCGGCGCTACAGGCTCATCAACAATTGCAACAAAGACAAGCAGCAGCGGCAGCGGGAGCGGCCGTGGCGGCGGCAGCAGTTGCTGCTGAAGAGCAAAAGATGGCATCACCGCCATTGCAGCGAAGCGGTAGTATGTATCCGACTGCTACCTCGCCGTCGCAATACTGCAGGCAAGTGCCCTTGTCGCATGGAGTTGCAACGCCGCCGATGAGTCGAAGCTCAAGTCTGCATAGCGATGGCGAGAGCCGGAAAAGAAAGGGGCCAGATGTTTGCGAGGCGGCTGATGCGAAGAGGCGGTGTTGATTTTCTTTCGAGCAGAAGAACGGGAGGCATGTTTTCTTTCCGAGACTTTTTTTTTTGCCCTCTCGCCAGCGTTGTTTATTTTTATTTTTTATTTTCCCTCTCTTCTCTCTTCTTATCTGCTGGCATGGGAAAACGAAACTAAGCGGGAGCGGCGTTGTACATATGTGGGCTCTACGTGGTGATGGATTGGGTGTACATAGAAGGCAATGGCCATGTCATACGATGATAACGAATTTGTTTGTTTTGTGTGGTTGTTTGTTGGGCGCAAGAAAAATAGGCGTACGTATCCTCGGACAATTGCACGTGACAGAGGGCTCATGTGTGTGTATATGTGTGTGTGTGTGTGTGTGTGTGTGTGTGTGTGTAGTAGTAGTAGTAGTAGTAGTAGTAGTAGTAGTAGTAGTAGTAGTAGTAGTAGTAGTAGTCGCACGGCCAGCACATCGGAGCAGGGGGGTGGCCGAGTGGGACGAGTAGAGAACGAGAGTAGTATCACGCTTCGTGTCCTTTTCAAGTCGCTGTTGCAACTCGGTAGTCCCAAGGACAGGACAGGACAGGACAGTCGAGGAGACAAGCAGCATCATGGCATTAGTAATTTGCAACGGCTGCCTTCCGCGCACAAGGCCGCCAAATGGCAAGGTGCATTCAAGTCTGCATGCACTGGCAATGCAGCTCGTCGCATTGTGCGCGGCATTGCCGTGAAGGACATGGCATGCCTCTGCCGTCTGCGGCAGCGGGTTGGCGGACCCCTGCCTAGCCGCGTCCCCAATCGAGGCAGCATTCGCAAGCTCGACGACTACCACATGAAAGCACCTCCGCTCTGCAACCTCATTCCCTCCTTCGTCCCCGTCTCTCCCATATCCATTCTTAGCCAAGACGCCTTGCCACCGCCATTGTCCCCCCCCTTGGCCTGTTTGCACCCTAGACACTCTACAAGCCGCGAGTGCGCGACTCGGTGGCTGCACTCCACGCTTCCGAAGTGGTCCAACACCTTTACCTGGCCTCTTCCCACCACCATCTCGACACCTGAGCGTCGCTTGCCTGTGCAACGTGTCAGGCACTTAGGTTACCACGCCCAGCCTAACACCAAGGCATCCTCCACCGGTAAGCCCCTTTTCGTCTTTCACTCCTGCTTGCTCAACCTTCCTGGGCCATCACCGTCATCCCACCCCCTTCCCTCGCTCCATTGCCGCTCAATCACGCTGTTTTCACTCGCCTGCTGCCCACTTCAACTATTGCATCGCAATTCGCGCATACGTCATCCGTCGTCTAACAAATTGCCAGCAATCCACCTCACGGAAAGCGGCCACGTATTCATTAGCAGCGACTCCTTTCGAGGCATTGTACACCACACTTAGCCCATCATGGAGACATGGATGAGCTGGGCCATGTTCCTGGCCATTGGCGCTGCCGCATACTGGTACTATGCACACCAAAACAACGATGGCGTTGCGCGAGGACGGTCGACAACGGGCAAGTCCACCACCAACTCATTAAAGGAGGCGGTCAACTGGGACTCTGAGACCAAGCCCAAGCAGAAGGCCAAGGCCAAGGCTCCCCGCAAGTCGGTCAAGGCGCCTACTCAGGATACCAGCAACAAGGCGGCTGCTCCCAAGGCCGCTCCTGTGGCACAGGAGGAAGTCGCTCCGCCTGCTGCCCCCATCAACAAGGCACCCAGTGGCAAGGACGTCTCTGATATGTTGGGCGAGCGCTCTGTCTCTCCCTCTGTTGTGAGCATTAAGCCCTCCGAAAAGCCCGCCAAGTCCGTCAAGGCTCAGACACAAAAGGCCGAGGTTGCGCAGGAGACCAAGAAGCAGCGCCAGAACAGGAAGAAGGCTGAAGAGGCCAAGGCTGCGCGCGAGGAGGAAGAGAAGCAACGCAAGGCTCTTGAGGAGAAGCAGCGCCGTACTGCCCGTGAGGCTCGCGGTGAGCCGGCCAAAAACGGTCAGCAGAGCAAGCCTCCTGCGTCGAACCCTTGGACTGAGGTTCCATCTCGTGGTGCGGTTCAGCCTCCCAAGTCAGCCCCTACTGGTCAGCTTCTCGACACTTTCGAGGCTCCCGCTCCCGCTGCCGCTGCTCCTGCCCCTACAAACGGCAAGAACACTACTTCTGCCTCTTACAACAGCCTGCCTTCTGAGGAGGAGCAGCTCCGACTTGCCATGGAAGACTCTGCCTGGACCACTGTTCCCAAGGGAGGCAAGACTAAGCGCAAGACCGTCAACGAGGAACTTGCCGAGGAGCGTGATGACATTAACACTGTCAAGCCATCCCAGCCGGCAAAGCCTGTCCGACCAACCGAGACTCTTAGGGAGAGCAAGAACCCCAGCTCTCGTTACCAGATTCTCGCCGAGGAGTTTAACCCCAAGACTGGCGATGAGATTGACGATTGGGCGGTCATGTGAGGTTGTTGACCATGACTAAACCAGTAATTGGTCCTTGAGACTTGTGGGCCATGCGTGCAGTCATGCAATACCTACGTGTTATCACTCTTTCCAAATTTCTGTCATGGCCATGACCGTTAGTACAGGGGTCTTCCGGGCGTTGGGACGGCAACCTGTCAGAGGATCTGGTAGAGGAGGGAGGCAAAAAGTCGGCATGTTACGTGGGAACGTCTGGGCGACGAGCACGATGGGGATAATGAGGGTTAATTTCCCTACCTTGTATGCTGAATGTTTGGAAAAATTATCGGCGTACGGGGGTTTACCTTTGGAACTGCGCGCGAAACCTGCCCTTGTATTCTCTCGTTGTATTTCACTGTTACACATGAACACCAAGTCTCTGAGATTTGGCGAAAACGCCTCTCTGAGGCTGACTACATAGAAAAGACATGGCTTTGGTCGCTGAATGCTTCAAGTGCAGCAAATAGGAGCTGTGTCTATTTGAGATTGCCCCATGATTACTGGGATCTATTCTCGGGTTCCGAGGAGCCGCAAGCCCACTATATGTGGTGAGCGTAGTAAGCGCACCCCAAGTAGAGATTATAATTGTATCAAGACCCACCGGGACTACCGTATCCGAGTCAGCCCAAAAGCTCGCTAATACGGTGGGCGCCGGTTGGGCAATGTGGCCTTTAACCAACGGTGCATATCTAAGTACCTGCGTTGCAACGGCGCAGGTTGCGCGAGACAAGCATGAGCACATGAGCACGCGGACATGGTACGGATGGCGGCCGGATATAGGATAATATCGGTGATTGTAACTAACGATGTTCAGACGAAAGGTTATAGGTCGCTCCAACCCTGCAATTTATTTAGCTTGCGACAGACCAGTATAGTGAGACCGCAGGGTAACGCGCAATAGGTTAGGTTGCTGACATAATCTGACGTTTCCGAGAATCAATCGCGTGAAGGACACCTGTTCGCAGGAGCAACCCTATCACCTATTACACCTCCGCCTCGCACCCTCCTTTCCTCTCTACAATCCTCCAGCCATGGCGCAGATACGCGGCACAGCTGGCTACCATTTGGGAAACCAAAGCCCCTTTGGCAACTCCGGGCGCAACGACGACATGAACAACGACCCGAGTCCCCTCGACCAACTGAGGGCCCAGACAAGCAAACTCGAGGACATGCTGGACACTGTCGCCGATCCTATCAAGCCGTAAGTAAGGACTGGAAGTACACGGGTTCGATATTTGGTACCAGACACCGCTCTTGGTGCTGCTACACAAAACGGCCCGTTCTGGGAAACATGGGCTGACTTGCATCTTTGCACAGTTACTTGCCGGCAATTGGCCGCTTCCTGATTGTCGTAACTTTCCTAGAGGACGCGCTACGCATAGTAACTCAATGGCGTGACCAGCTCACATACCTTCATGACTACCGACGCAGTATGTCTCGATTACTACCCCTCACGACACGTTGAGACGCATGGCTAACACTTGGCGCCACTCAGTCCCTAATGGTTTAACGCACATGTTCCTTATTGTCAATGTCATCGCCATGACAGTCTGCTCCATTGGTGTTATTGCCCGGAAATACTCTGAATTCAGTGTCGGCGGGCTCATGGGCGTGGTTGTGTTGCAGGGTCTCGGATACGGTCTTGTTTTCGACCTCAACTTCTTCCTCCGCAACCTGTCGGTTGTTGGTGGTCTTCTCATGGTTCTCTCTGACTCGTGGGTTCGCAAGAAGTTTGCTCCGGCTGGTCTTCCCCAGCTTGATGAGAAGGACAAGAAGATGTACTTCCAGCTCGCTGGACGTGTTCTTCTGATTTTCCTCTTTGTTGGCTTTGTTTTCCGCGGCGACTGGGGTCTCTGGCGAATCATTGCCAGCATTCTGGGATTCATTGCCTGTGTCATGGTTGTTGTTGGCTTCAAGGCCAAGTTCTCTGCCGTTATGCTGGTGCTGATTCTCAGCATCTTCAACCTCTACGTCAACAACTGGTGGACCCTGCACCCGCACCACCCTCACAAGGACTTTGCCAAGTACGACTTTTTCCAAATCCTCTCGATTGTGTAAGTCCCACCATGCTACATCTGGTTTAATGCACATTTACTAACAAACCACAGCGGTGGTCTCCTTTTGCTGGTCAACATGGGCCCTGGACAGTTCTCCGTCGACGAGAAGAAGAAGGTTTACTAGGCTAGAAAAAAACGACGCATCACGCATCACGACATGAGTTTTCGATTCGAACGCTGGACAGCGTACACTGGTTACATCCGATGACGAAGAATCATGGCGATTGGGTACTTAAATGCAGGCGGAGCAGCCTAGGAGCTGCCAAGATGAACGATTTGAGGAAAAGGGACAAGTTCAGAGGTGCAACTTCCGGCCCAGCAAAACCTTTGCGACACGGAAAATATGTAGACCAGGAGTAGTGCTCGGCGTTTATACATTGCGATTGGGTTGATCGCATACCCTGTTAAGGGGACATATCTGTTTAGAAATTTACAAATGCATACAAGTTTATGATGTTTTTGATTGAGCGTCTAGACTCTAAACCTTCATGCCTGCACCCCTGAAAGTCAAAACATCAGCGGGACCCACAGTTAGAGTGGAGAGTGGTCCCCGTGTGCGTGTTCGGTGTGTCGGTGAACTCCGCCGTTTTGTTAGGCCGCTTGCCATGCATAGCCTTGGGGCTTAGGGCTTGAGAGGGGGGGGGGGGGGTTGGAAAAGACGGGGGGCCCACTAGTTTATCTAATCAAACGGTCTACATATACCCGGGGGGGGGGGGAATTTACTTTAGTTATCTGCAACAAAACACATTTTACTTCAATCTTTTTCCTCCCTCTAATTGGAACAATTCAAAAAAATAACCCTGAAACCTAAAACCTAAAACAATGGCACCCAACAAAATCATCATCGATACCGACCCCGTAAGTTTGCCTGTAGACATGGGCCCTTGTTTATCCAATAATCCTTTTGTTACCCCGCATTATACCGAGGAACTTGCCTCCCTTCCTTCCTTCCTCCTTTCCTGCGACAAAAAAAAGAGTTAAAACGGGCTATACTAATGGGGATGTGGGATGAAAATTAGGGCGTCGACGATGTTCTAGCAATGCTTCTTGCGTTTTCGGCAAAAAGCGACGAACTCGATGTTTTAGCGTTGAGTTTGACGTTTGGGAATGTGGAGGTGCGGAAGTAAGTTTTCTTTTTCTTGTTTTTATATCTCCAAATTTTTTGCTGGGATCTCTGGCATTTATTTAAGAAAGGGAGGAGGGGGGAGGGGGGGGAGATTAAGGGAATAAGTGTTTTTGCTGACTTGGAAAATTTGGGAGAACAGTTGCTTGAGGAATGTGGTTACGCTTTTTCAGCAGATTGAAAAGGAGAGAGTATGGAGGAAGGAAAATGGGAGACCAGAGGGGTTTGAGACGCTGAGTGCGAGGAAACCTATTGGTGGGTGATGGGCAGTGAGGGGGGTGAGTAAGTGTGCTAACTTTTTTGGAATATAGTTGCTGTTGGGGCTGAAGAGCCGTTGGCTGAGCATATGATGGTTGCGGACTTCTTTCGTGAGTTTTTGAAGTTATCTTGACAATGTTGGAGATGTCAGCAACTAACTAAGTCTGGATAGATGGCATTGATGGGCTTGGAGGGATTCATCATAGTGCAAGTTTTTTTTCTTTCTGGTCTTCCAGGTTTACGGTGGTTGAGATTGAATTACTAACGGATGCTTAGCACCCACATCTCTCACCGGCTGAAACTTGGAAAACGCTTTTCAAACCTACGCCAGAGAACCTTTCACCAGAGGAAGCGGCAGAACTCCAAAAAGTCAAGGAGCAGCATTCTCTTTTTACGCCGTCGCTTAAGCCTGCGCATGAGGTTATGCTAGACTTGCTTAGGGAGAATGAACCAGATACGGTTACCATAGTAGCTATGGGGCCATTGACGAACCTTGCCGTTGCTGCAGCAGCGGATCCAGAGGCGTTTCTCAGGGTCAAGGAGGTTGTTGTGATGGGCGGTGCTATAGATGCACCTGGAAATGTAAGACTCCATCTTTCTTTTACACCCCCCCCCCCTCGTAACGGCTCTGAAGCTCTGAGTAGCGGCGGCCGCCTCCTCTACACCTCATCTATTCTCCTGCTACACTGTCAATCCCAGTCCCTCCCTTCAACTTAATCAAACAACCAAACACTCCATTGCGCCTCTCACTAAACCTACGAAACCAGATGACACCCGGCGCGGAATTCAACACCTACGCCGACTCGGTAGCCAGCGCGCGCGTATTCGCCCTCACGTCGCAAAACCCACACCTGACAATGCCACCCACACTTTCCAGCACGCAAAAACAAGCCAAACTGGCCCCGTACCCAGCCAAACTAAGCAAGCGCCTAACCATCAAGCTCTTCCCTCTCGACATAACAGAGCAGCATCTCCTCCCCAAATCCATGTACGAAGATTACATCTCACGCGAGGGCACAAAAGGCAGTCCGCTATCCGAATGGACACACCTCTTCCTCTCCCCAACCTTCACCAAAAACGCCTCGCTAAACCCCCAGCACCAAGACACTGCAAAGCAAAGTCTCCAACTCCACGACCCGCTAACAATCTGGTACGCGCTCTCGGCCTCGAATCCGAGTTGGAAATTCAAAGAGGAAGACGTGCGTGTCGAGACGAGTGGGCAGTGGACGCGCGGTTGCACGGTGGTGGATCGGCGGGGTCGCACGATCACGGAGGGCACCGCGGATTTGAGCGAGGAGGTTGCGGGGGATGCGGGGGGTTGGAGGGATTCCAGGCGTGGGAATCGCGTCGCGTGGTGTACCAAGAGTCCTGGCGAGACCAAGTTTGCGAGGGTCATTTTGCATCGTGTTTGGGGCGATGGCGAGCAGTGGTGAGTGTGGGGGGGG